GTCCTTTCTTATTTGGAATTTATTTATTTATTTATTTATTTATCTTTGCACTCATTGGTGCGCTATGACAACAACAGAAAGGGTTAGTTCTGATAGACTGGTCAAGAACAAAAAGAGAACTAAAATACTGAGTAAATCTTTGAAAATAAGCCTAGATTCGAAAAGTTCCCAGAGTCTGTGGGCCGACGGCGCTGTGGGAACCGATGAAACCGTTCAAAGCACAAAAACAGCTCAGCACTCACTAGCTAGCCATCAAATGTAGTGGTGGAGAAGATCTCAATATGTGGAATAGCGCCTATGCTTATCAGGTAACCTGGACGTCAAAAACGGTAAGTGCAGGTCAGTCTAGGCAACGCAACCAACCGAAGTTGTACCCGGGCGGGCCAAAGTAGATGCCTCTTTGATCTAAACACGAACCCAGGGCGTAAGACCTAGACCCAAGTATTTCAAATGAATACTTGTTGACCTGCAATTACGTGGAGTAAGCATACAAGACTTAACATAGGAGTGCCAGGAATAGGTAGTAAAGCTCGAGTTCACGAAGATTCAAAATGATGGTAGCAGTGTGTGTCGCTGAACAACATTAACGTTACGAAGGCCCAAAGCGCGGCCGCCTAAGAAGCTGGGGAACATCTAAATATAAGACAGCACACAGTGAGCGATCACGTCGTTGTTAGTAACATCCGATACAACGTAAATAATGTCAAGGCAAACTAGAAATATTTTTCGTTGATCTAGCATAGAATGACCATGGGTATAATCGAACCAACAGTCAGCAAGGAAGTTCCACCTGTGCTAAATACGTGCAAAGAACCTGCAAAACTGGCTTACTTGAGTCTCAGCATAACTAGCAAAGTTTTTCGTCAGTAGTCTAACTTCAACGTCCTAGAAAGTTCTAGCTTCAACAAATTTTTCTTGAAAATCTTTGCATTAGGTGCAGTCATCAACCCACCTGGAAGGTAGCTTAGCCACCTTGCAGCCCGACAGAAAAAGTTGTTGAATAGCAGAGAGTGATTCCTCCTTGAAACGCGGTTGTGATGCAGGCTGAAACCCCCAGCTCTCTCGCTGCTAGGCCGAAAGATCCAATATTTACTTGGGGTAAGTATTGTTTCTTTCCTCAGAATGCGAAAGCAAAAAGTCAGATCGTTCACGGCTCTCCTTATTGTTAGACGCTGAAGCCCAAGCGTCTTTAAGCGTTCATCGTAGCTTGGCAGATGGCGATGCGTTACGTATGAAAAGCATCTGAGGAAGAGCAATCTGGTGAAACTTTTCTGTACTTTCTCGATTTTCAAGATGTCTTTTTTGAGAGCAGTGTTCCAAACAGGAGAACAGTACTTCCAGATGGGGGAGTACACAGGTTTTGTAGAGGCAAAGTAATGATCTGATGTCCTTGCTGTGAAAGTTTCGAAAAATCAGGTACATAGTTGCAAAAGCTTTCTTAGATACGTACTTCTATATGATCCGAAAACTTTAGATTTTCACTAATATATACACCAAGATCCTTTATGGCATAGCATCGCTTCAACAGTACACCATTGATTTCATAATTTCCTGGGGCACCCACACCCAAATGGAATACTGAGCACTTACTAAGATTGACGGACAACTCCCAGTTTGTGGCCCACTCTGTCAGTTTCATTATTGATCTCTTCAGAGGCTAACTGAACTACCTCTTTGTTGTGTTCGTTGTAGCTCGCGTAAATTTGACATCGTCTGCATATACTTGAATTTTAATTTCTGGTGATGTCTTGATGAAGGAGGGAAGATCTATTGTATAAATGAGAAACAGAAGTGGTGAAAGAACGGATCCCTGAGGAACGCCGCTACGACAGCGAAATTTACATGAAAAGCTGCGCCCGACCCTGACTCTCATATATCTCTGGCTGAGGTAAGACTCGAACCACCTTAGGAGGGGCCCGCTTATACCCAGATTATCCAACTTATGCAATAGTTTTGAGTGAGAGACTCTATCAAAAGCTTTTGAAAGATCAACGAACACAACATCCACTGCTTCCCCTTTATTAAGTGCTACAGACCAATCGAAAACACTGTCGAGAAGGTTTGATGTGGTTGAAGCGCCTTTCAGAAAACCGTGCTGCTCACTCGGGAATACCTTGAACCTCTGAAGCCACGATAGAAAGTTTATTTCTACCAGTCGCTCCAAAACCTTTGCGGCGTAGGAATAATGCTTATAGGACGGTAATCAGACAGTAGTTGACTCTTGGGTATCTTGGGTATAGCAGAAACAATGGCTTCTTTCCACTGGTCAGGAACCTCGCCGAGAAGCATCGTTATATTGAAAATGTGTGCCAGTGGCTGACTAAGGGAAGACGCACACTTTTTGAAGATAATCTGTGGGATACCGTCGAAGCATTCAGAAGTAGATGGCTTAAGAGTTTCAAAACCCGAAAAACGTCACTGGGATGGATACAAATTTCGAGAAGGCGCTGATAAATGCGACTCAAATCACCGATGCGCAGTTCTTCAGTGGAGTTGCTATCAGAGAACACACCAGCAAAGTACGTCCCAAGCGCGTCAGCTTTTTGCTTATCAGTAACAAAGGACCGATTGGAACCGTCCGAGAGAACTGGAAGTAGCGGACGGGCCTTCGTTCTTACATTGATGTAATGAAATAGTCTTTTGCCTTTGAGTTTGGCTTTGCCCAGGTAACGCCTTTCATGATTGTCCATGAATTTTTTAACATGATGAGTCAGATCAGAACAAGCCTTTCTGTAGCTAGGGTCAGACAAAGGAGATGGTCTAGTTCGAAATAAGCCTATCTTTTTGGGCTAGCAAGTTCTTGATATGGGAGGGATATTCAAACCAAGTGCGACGAGGAAGCCTAGAAGGAATAATTTGGACATTGCTAAGTGCATCTGTGAGCAAAATCTATCATAGATTTCAGTTGAGGAGGTGTATTTATCAAAAACATTGAACCAGTCGACATGTTTAAGATAAAAGTTCAGTTTATCGAAATCCGTATTAAAGAAGTCAGGAGTAGGGTGTACTTCTTCTGAGATACATTTTGGCCAACACGAAAGACTACAATGTTGTGGTCGGAATTAGCGAAGGGTGCACGAACGGATACATTGGAAACCATAACGCTGTGGATAGGACGAGATCCAAAAGTTTGTGTTCATGTGTGGGCTGGCTGACATGTTGCGTAAAGCCGCAGCTCTCAAAGAAGTTAAGAAAGTGAGCTGCAGGAGAGTTTGAAGGTTCCTTGGTTATCCAATTTATGCTTAGGTTGAAATCGCCTACAAGAATTGTATTGGGTCTGGATAGAGCATAGGTCAGAGAGCGCATCTATCAACAGGGCATCATTCAGTGGATGTAGAAGCTGGGAGGTCGGTATACGGAAATCAGCATCACACTAGGTAAGCCTTTGTCGCTCAGAAGTTCGACACCAAGAATATCGGCTCTCAAAGCGTACTGGGGCTTATTTTGTTTCGAAATTAAGGAGGACTTAATCAAACAGCACACCCCGCCACCTTTACTTCCTTTCCTATCGCATCGGTACACGGAGTACGGCATATTTAACACTAACTCAGGAATCTAAAATGCGTGAACTCAACCATGTTTCTGTGAGAATTGCAATGTCGGGCTTATTGATGTTTAAAAATGCATGTAAATTCGGGATTTTGTTCACAATACTACGAGTGTTGAAAAGAAAGCAGTTCAAAAAATTCACTTCGCCATGCTCGCTCATGCGTTTCCCGAAATTTGAGACTGTGGCAGGTCAGCGACGTGCTTGAGTTCGCCCCTGTAGACGACCCACTCCCGGCTCGGCTTCCCTTTGTTGCGCTCATTTGCTAGCTGACGCAGATCGAACTCCCGTTTGCGTTCCTCAGCTGTGAGGCTCTTTCCTCACAAAGACGTTAGGGAAACCCGAAAGCGCGTAAATTTTTAGCATTAATCAGAGCAGTGCGCCAGTAAGCCCTTGATGGTAGGAGGATCTTAACGAGTCTTGGGCGCGCAGAGTCTGGCTTGCCCATCCTATGGACTTCCACAGGGCGGCACTCTACTTGTAAGGCATCAAACAAGTCGGCTACCTTGCTTTCGAGCTCTCTCTGACGCTCGGACGGCTTGAGATGTGCCGGCGCCTCTTCAAGGCCGCTGACCACTAGGCTTCTTGAGCGCTTCTCAGCCTCCACGTATTCGATTGCCTCGTTCGGAATTTTTTCGGAGAGCGCTACGATCATCTTTTCCATGACTGGATCTGGTATTCCGGTCGAGTAGCGCTTTGAGAGCTGGCTCACGCTAAAAGTACTAAAGTCGATACTTTCATTAGTGTCATCCGGAGTACCTAAATCTACATTGTCCACAGAAGATGATTGAGATTGAGTAGAGTTGCCAGCCTGAACTTTTGATTTATTGGAGCGCTGGGCCTTGGCGGGCATGATCTGCACGTCAATGGGAAGTCGATAAAACAAAGGCGTCAATAATACCAAGATTAAAGAAAATCCGTGTCACCGAGCAATGAAATCTCAAGATCGGCAGGTTTAGCTGTCCTGTGAGCAGTGATCAAAGTAATTGATGATTGAAGAAAGCAAAAATTGCTCCAGACTAGACAAAAGAACTGATGTATGGAGGAGCAGAAAAAAAAAAACCGCCGCTCACGGTGGCCGCGCACGTCCATATGATTATAATTATCGGGAAGTCAGAGAGAAGCCTTGATTTTCTCCAGTAATAGAGGCAAGGTCTACACGAAGTCGATGAAATACAAAAGAAGGGATGTATGCATACTGCAAAAGAACGGCGACCCCCAGGGAAGTGAGTAAGGTCACCATCATCACCATCAAAGTCGTGCCCACCGCCCCGCAGCCGACCCAATTCCGATTCGCGGGTTACTTGCAGTTCAATTAAGTTTTTGGTCCTGTAATGGGGAAAGCACAGGCTATCAGAGGTCGGCACCTGGTTCGGTTCCAAATTCCACTGAGAAGGTGGGAGCTCTAGGACTAAGCCGAGGGGACTGGAGGAGGGAGGGACTCTGTGGTGGGCGAGCCATTTACAGTGTGGCACGAGTGTGAGTTCCAGTGGTCATGGGCATCCGTTTAGGTGATAGAGCGCAGGCAAGTGCATCAAACTGAAATAGTTTGAAGGACCGAGGCCAAGTGGTCCGTCGGC